TTTATACATAGACTCCTGTATTTTACCTTTGCTAACCTTGACTTCTAGACTTCACCTTCGACAGCCTTTCGCCTTTGTCTGCATTCCCAGCCTATCTGTGCCGTTTCGAGATGTTAGTAGTGAGTAAGTAGCCTTCAAAATGGTTGTCCCCAATGCGATGTCGCATCTAACACAGATATCCTGAAACCACGTGCCGCATTCAAACTGGCCACCTACAATGTTCGGACGCTGATGCAAATCGGACAACAGGCGCAGGGTTGGTAAGAACATTGGAAAGCCTCGCTATCGATGTCTGCTGTATTTCGGAGACCCTCATTCAAGATTCCAGTGAAGTGTTTCGATTGATTATCCTATCCATCTGGAAGTTCGAATAGTATGTACCACCTGCGCTTATCCGGGTACCCTGTGACGTCAGCATCCAGCTTATGAATATAGATGAATTACAAAATAGACAAGAACAACAACCAGTTTTTCTGCGTGTGTTAAAGTTTGACAGTAAGTGGAAATACTAAAGTGTAGTATATATGATTATGAGTAGAAAAACTAATTAGGTAATAAATATAGGTCAATCTAATGTTCATTGGACATGCGTGAAATACATGATGATGATGATGATGATGATAGGCAAATAACCGTGTGTCACTACACTGAACACTTACTTCAGTTTCGTCGACTAGGACGAAATTCACTTTTTGCTCAACAGATTTACATCCATAGTTACATCTGGTTATCGGAAACATCATTGAAAGCTGTCTACATGCCTCAGATACAGGGATTATTGGAATTCGACTAGGCGACGAACAACTAACACCTTCAGCTGTTTCATTGATCAATCCACATGCAATCGATACAATATTCAACCAACCGGATCCAAAGGCTTCCCTATCATTGGTAACTATTGCGCCTAGGCAAAAAGTGATTTCTCTGCCTGCCCATTTTCCGCATAAAGCAAACAACGAAGGAGAAGGAGTTGTTGCGTATGCAGATGAACGATAGTGCACAGGAATAGACGACCTGAATATGTTATAAATCGAGATAAGTAAATAGCTTAACACAGCAGAACAAACAAAATAGTGAAAACAAATAAATGAGAAAACGAGAGCCTTCAAATTAATTCATCGTATCCCACTGAATCTTTCCAATAGACATCGTATTCGTTTACTGCACACAGCTGAGGTGATAGGCATTCGAACTATTATACGTAAACTAGTGATTGATCTTCATTGTTATTTTGAGCTTCAGTATATCCCCCATTTAAATTTACCTAAGTAGTCTATTTTCTCACCCACCTCTTAACTTTTTATAATTTCCACAAATGTCTATTCCTATGAAAAATCCGGGTGTGTGATCAGATTAATAAATAAATTTATTCTCATAGTACAGTACATGAGGGACGCCAGTTTACAGGCATCATCAAATTGTTACAGAAATAGAACCATATAATTTAATCACAATTTACAGCCAGTAGCAAGATATGCTTTACATGTTCGATGGAGATTATACATACACTTGATAAATGTTAATTCCAGTAGTATAAAACAGCCTTTTCACTTATATACAATCATTTCTGTGCAAAGTTGGAAAAATCTGCTAGATTGTCAGTGAGTGCAACACAACAGGAAATACAGGAGTATTGTCTTCGCATTAACAAAAAAACCAGGTCTTTGGTGGATGGATTATAAGTGCCTGGGAAAATGATAAAGCTTGAAGTAAATATTCATACATAACTTTGTTGTGTGCAGAGTCCTCGAATTATAGTTCATTGATGTGTTATTTTGAAATCAGTGATGTGTTTATCTCACTTGATCTGCAATGTCATTGTTGGGAGTAAGTACATAAGCTTCGGACGCATTAATTGATGGATTTCTACTGATTACGGGTATTTTCTCAGCGTGAGGAAGGTTTATGAGTTGTTCGAAATGTGTTCCGCAAATATGCACATTACACACACGATTCAGACAAAATACGTCTTCTTATTGCTTTATCTAAATTCATAAAGGAACTGATTGTTTTAAATTTATTTAGAACTACACATTTAAGCGAACAATATTGTTTTCAATCAAATCTCATCAGGCTTAACTCTAATATATATAAGTTTACAAATAAAAGTTCAAATATAAACCAATCATGGTGTTTTGTCTACGGGATAATACGATGGTGAATATAAATTGTGCAATTAGTCATAATAGTAGTAATGATATTAGTAATAATAATGGTTTTATCAATAATAAGGATGAAAAAGTGAGGCAATCTATGATAACACGAATACTGATGAAAAACAGCATGATCACTTATTTATTTATTCCTGTTTATGCAGGAACATACCAATTGTACAGGCATGGATAAGTTATTATATAAATCACAGTTTGTTTGTTCTTTCTAACATTAGAGTCAGTCAGAACAATCTGCAAAATAGCTTGTCTGTGTAACACATAAAGAGATATAGAAATATTGTCTTCGCATTAACAAAAACCCAGACTTCAGATGAATGTGATACAAATATCTGGGAAAAATAAAGCTTGAAGTCAATTCTATAAAACTTTGTTGTGAACAGCATCCGTGAGATAAAGTTTATTGATGTATTATTTTGATTCAATAATGTATTTATTCCATTTTTGTCAGCAGTCTTATCGTAGTTTTATAATAGGAAAGAAATTTGATCTTTGATACGAAAATTAGATAAGGTAATGTTAAATTGTTTTACTGCATCAAATGGGGTCAATTCTAGAACTATCCATTTTCGCCATTTGCGTCAGCATGGCAGAGGCAGCCTGTAGACGGCCGTAGGTCATTTGATCAGCTGATGTCTAGCGGCTTTATTTAATGAAAAAACTTCGAAAATAGGTGATTTTTCGTTGTTTTACACACTTCTACACCTATATTGCTGCTAAAAGTTGATGTAATAAGGCGTTTTTAGCATAAACGGGAAATGATGGTGTCCTTATCCGGCCGTAATTTACGGCCAATTTACAAATTGTTGAATTACGTACTTTTCCGTTCGGAAAATGTCGAATTACTTGAATAGACATATTATAACGACTTTTAGTGAATTTTTTTTGCAGTTTAAAGGATTATACATGGACATGATGAGGTGGGATAGTTGGTTTTGTTGATTATTTGATTTACTTTGTTGTTTACTTTTGCTAATTCTGTCAAAGGTCCTGTACATGTATTTCATTAAAGTAAATCTACAGAAATACTTAGAGTTTATATACGCATAGTATTTACTTATTTTTATAGCATATACTTGATGTTTACAGGTATATGCAATATCCATTTTTTCTTCTTGAAAGATATTGACTGATGTAATTGTATTCAATTAAACTGATTATTTCATCATTTTAAACATGTTAAGTAGTTATTTATTGCATTTACAGTGGTAACAATGTGTACATCTTGAGAATTCTTTTGTTCTTTTTCAGATAATATCTACTTTCGGGAATTTCATGGATTTGGGCGATAAAGAAAAAGATATCTGCCGTGTTGTTGATTATGTATTACATGTTTATTCATTAATAAATGTATTCCTCGTTATTCGTTTGTGTATTCTACTTGATAAAGCTGATTTCTAGCCTTTGCGTAATTTGTGAGGTACGGAGTATGTGACGTGATCTTAAAACTGCTAAGTAAAATTAGATATTTGGGGAGGCTTATTGATTAAAAGACTATGTCGTGCCGTAATGAAGTTACTGCGTCCACTTGTAAAAGAAAACATTGAGGTTATAAGCGCTTAGTTATATATCGTCTTAGTAGGAACCTATTAATTGACTTCGGATTCATAGTCAAACAAGGTTAAAAGTAAATCTACCTGAGATAGTTAGCTTGCGATTTCTACTTATCGTAATAAACCAAGATGGGAATAATGTACCTATACTATTATATTTATAACTCAGTGTAACTAAGGTTATCGTAATAATTAAAAACAGAATGCCTACTATTGAAATACA